TTTGAACTTGCAGTAGCTTGGATTGCGGGGTGTTCTTGATGGCATATATGTTTAGCCTCGATTCCGGTCAAACTATTTCAATTGACCAAAAGGATTGTGCGAGACATAGAGCTCGCATCGTTGCTCTATTTCTATCTGAAGGTATATTTTCTATAATTGCAATGTTCATTGAACCGTTTTTAAACTCAATCTATTGTTCTTTTGATCAATCATATATATTTTGCTTTTAGGAAATCAGCGTGATCATCAAGACCAATTCCCCGAATGCTAGATGCCAATTATCATATCAAGCATTTTTTGTGTACATATATATGTTTGGAAAGTTATTTGTAAAGTGATTTGTCTGAAACCTATGGGACTGTTGATGGGATTGGTTATGTAAAGTCATTTGTAAAATCATTTTGTGCAATCAGCTACTGTGGTTATGTAAAGTCATTTGAAAAGAACATATATATGTTTGGAAAGTTTTGATGTATAGTGATTTGTATGAAACCTATGAGACTGTTGTTGGGATTGGTTATGTAAAGTCATTTGTAAAGTCATTTTGTGTACTAAACCACAGTGGTTAAATTATAGGTTATGTAAAGTTTTGTATGCTTTTACGTCATTGAAATTGATGGTTTATTACAGATATCAGCATGTTACACATAACCATAACACAACAAAAGGATGCAAAGGACATTCACACATAATTAATGGAAGCTTTCCACACTTCACTCTCTCTAGTTGCATCAGAATTACAGCAACATATATAGAGTTCTCCTTTCAAACGTAAACACCAAAAACAGACACATGTTGATCCCCTAAAGAGATCAACTCTACCACTATAGGCTCTCATTCACAAGCTTTATAATTGAGCAACACTAACACGTTATATTGTAAGTATAGCACATTATATCATAAGTGTAGCACGTTATATCATAAGTATAGCACGTTAACATGTAAGTATAGCACGTTATACTGTAAGTACAGCACGTTAACCTATAAGTATAGCATGTTAACCTGTAAGTATAGCACGTTAACCTGTAAGTATAGCACGTTAACCTGTAAGTATAGCACGTTATACTGTAAGTATAGCACGTTATGTCATAAGTATAGCACATTATACTGTAAGTATAGCATGTTAACATGTAAGTATAGCACGTTATCTTATAAGTATAGCATATTATGTCATAAGTATAACACGTTATACTGTAAGTATAGCATGTTAACATGTAAGTATAGCACGTTATCTTATAAATATAGCACATTATGTTGTAAGTATAGCACATTATATCATAAGTATAGCACATTATTTCATGAGTATAGCACGTTATCTTATAAGTATAGCACATTATGTTGTAAGTATAGCACATTATATCATAAGTATAGCACATTATTTCATGAGTATAGCACGTTACATCATAAGTATAGCACGTTAACCTGTAAGTATAGCACGTTAACATGTAAGTATAGCATGTTATACTGTAAGTATATCACGTTAACCTGTAAGTATAGCACGTTATACTGTAAGTATAGCACGTTAACCTGTAAGTATAGCACGTTAACCTGTAAGTATAGCATGTTATGTCATAAGTATAGCACATTACGTTGTATGTATAGCACGTTATCTTATAAGTATAGCACATTATGTTGTAAGTATAGCACATTATATCATAAGTATAGCACATTATTTCATGAGTATAGCACGTTACATCATAAGTATAGCACGTTAACCTGTAAGTATAGCACGTTAACATGTAAGTATAGCATGTTATACTGTAAGTATAGCACGTTAACCTGTAAGTATAGCACGTTATAGTGTAAGTATAGCACGTTATACTGTAAGTATATCACATTAACCTGTAAGTATAGCATGTTATACTGTAAGTATAGCACGTTAACCTGTAAGTATAGCATGTTATGTCATAAGTATAGCACGTTAACCTGTAAGTATAGCACGCTATCTTATAAGTATAGCACATTATGTTGTAAGTATAGCACATTATATCATAAGTATAACACATTATATCATAAGTATAGCACGTTACATCATAAGTATAGCACGTTAACCTGTAAGTATAGCACGTTAACATGTAAGTATAGCATGTTATACTGTAAGTATAGCACGTTAACCTGTAAGTATAGCACATTATAGTATAAGTATAGCACGTTATACTGTAAGTATAGCACGTTAACCTGTAAGTATAGCATGTTATACTGTAAGTATAGCACGTTAACCTGTAAGTATAGCATGATATGTCATAAGTATAGCACGTTAACCTGTAAGTATAGCACGTTATCTTATAAGTATAGCACATTATGTTGTAAGTATAGCACATTATATCATAAGTATAGCACATTATTTCATAAGTATAGCACGTTACATCATAAGTATAGCACGTTAACATGTAAGTATAGCACGTTAACATGTAAGTATAGCACGTTAACCTGTAAGTATAGCACATTAACATGTAAGTATAGCACGTTATACTGTAAGTATAGCACGTTAACCTGTAAGTATAGCACGTTAACCTGTAAGTATAGCACGTTATACTGTAAGTATAGCACATTAACCTGCAAGTATAGCACGTTATCTTATAAGTATAGCACATTATATTGTAATGATGACACGTTATTTTGTAAGTATAGTATCCTATATTCAAAATTATGATAACAAACACAAATCCTACATCCAAAAGTATAGCATGTTTTTCATTGATATCATAAGTATAGCACATTTTACATCCAAATGTATCCACATGTATAACATGTCTTACATGACAAAAGTATAGCACCCAAAAGTATATCATGTTAACCTGTCCAAAAGTATAGCATGTCTTCTATCCAAAAGTATAGCGTAGAATATATCTAGTCCGCAATAGGTTGTCTACATGTTCTACGGTTGTGACCATACTGTTGGCATCTACTACATTTTAACTCTTTGCCCGGATTCAATCCCGAAGGAATGCGCTTTGTCCTTGGTCTTCCACGAAGAATTGATGTTGTTGGTGGCCGAATCACCATATTTTCATCATCTATACATGGCTTGTCATCGTCAGGAATTGGGTATATCGGAAAGGAGTAGCATTTGCGGTATGTCTCCACACTAAAGTAGTGGGAAATATAGGAGTAAAGGGTGTCCATATTCTGTCGAATAACCGTCGCAGCATGTTTGCAAGGTAGCCCGACAACTTGCCATTCACGACAAGTGCATGTGCGTTCATTCAAGTTTACTTCAACGGTGGGGAAATCATACACCTCGTACCTTCCTGTAGTAGAAAGAATTGCAGAAAGACAACGTGATTGCTCATTGATATGAATAAGGTGTTCTTCCACAGTAGGAATAAATGATGTGGTCCACTTGTGGGATGCCTCCCGCCTTTCAAAACCCATCCTCATCATTTTCTTGCGAATATTATCAATTGTTTGGGTAATTGGCAAATAACGAGCTTCTTTGATCCAAGAATTGAATGACTCCGCCACGTTTGATGTCAACCATCCATATCTACATGCATGTCAATAAATAGTAAGTATAGCAGGAACATATATCTCAAAAATTTGCATTTAAAATTCTGCATAAATTTAAATTTCAACCTCTTCCCAGGAAAATAACAATTAGCCCAATTTTCTGGACTCATCCTCAACATTTCGTAATAGGCGATCTCTGATTTGTTCCTTAGCTCGTTGCATTCATTGTTATAGGAACGAGAAGTGTATGCATAAGCGGTCCTCTTCATAATTTGCACACATTCATCTCGTAAAGGTGGTATAATGCCTTTTTTCGATAGGTTATTCTTAAAATTAGCCAAAAGATGACGAATACAATAAGAGTGATGTGACCATGGAAAGCATTTCTTCACAGAATTCTGAAGTCCTTTGTCCCTATCGGAGATTAACACCAGTTCATCATCTGGAGTATATGGATCTTCATCATTGAAGAGAATGTCTCGAATGCATTCCAGAAACCATTCCCAATTACTCTCATTCTCCGTCCCGCATATGCAAATTGCTACGGGAAACATACCACCATCTCCATTTAGAGCAGTTGCGGCAAGTAAGGTTCCTTTATACCTATAAAAGAAAAGAACAATCATGAAACAAAGTATAAAGTAGTACATTAATGCAACTTTTGATTAGATTGAACTCTACCATACCTATCAAAAAGATGTGTACCATCCAAGAACAATATTGGTCTACATCCCTCCATAAACCCTTTCCAACAAGCATAATAAGACACAAATACTCGTGTAAATCTTCCGTCTTCATGCTCTAAGTGAACAATTGATCCCGGATTAGTTTCTATAACTTTATCCTTATACCATCGGAGTTGGTCATATGAAAATTTAGTATCACCATACAAATCACGTTGAGCTAGCTCTTTTCCCCACCAAATTCTATGATAAGGGATGTCCAAACCAAATTCCATTTTAAGCTTCTTCTGAAAATCAATTGGACGATAAGTGAGTTGTTCCTTCAATATGGTCTTGAGATGATTAGCATTCCACTTACGAGATGCCCGTTGATATCCTTCCTTTCCTATGCCTCCTCCCAAGCAACTATGAGAACTATATATTTTTTTCACATAGAATCGATCATTATCTCTACGACGGGTGCAATGAACCATCCACTCATCAGTTATGCTATTTACGCGTTTTCCTGTTTGGGTTGGGCTTTGGTTATTTACCACTTTGCCACCCTATTTACGAGTTTAATGAAGAGAGATTAGATTTTAATTGAGATTAGATTGTTATATTAAGAGTATAGCACGTTAAGGAGTTAGTATCGCATGTCTTTCATTGACATAGGATACATACAAAAATTATAGCATGTCTTTCATTGATAACAAACACATAGGATACATACAAAATTATGACAAAAGTAAAAAGACCAAAAGTATAGCATGTCTTTCATTGATAACAAACACATAGGATACATACAAAATCATGACAAAAGTATAGCATGTCTTCTATCCAAAAGTATAGCATGTCTTCTAACCAAAAGTATAGCGTAGACTATATCTAGTCTGCAATAGGCTGTCTACATGTTCTACGGTTGTGACCATACTGTTGACATCTACTACATTTTAACTCTTTGGCCGGATTCAATCCCGAAGGAATGCGCTTTGTCCTTGGTCTTCCACGAAGAATTGAAGTTGTTGGTGGCCGAATCACCATATTTTCATCATCTATATATGGCTTGTCATCGTCAGGAATTGGGTATATCGGAAAGGAGTAGCATTTGCGGTATGTCTCCGCACTAAAGTAGTGGGAAATATAGGAGTAAAGGGTGTCCATATTCTGTCGAATAACCGTCGCAGCATGTTTGCAAGGTAGCCCGACAACTTGCCATTCACGACAAGTGCATGTGCGTTCATTCAAATCTACTTCAACGGTGGGCAAATCATACACCTCGTACCTTCCGGTAGTAGAAGGAATTGCAGAAAGACAACGTGATTGCTCATTGATATGAATAAGGTGCTCTTCCACAGTAGGAACAAATATTGTGGTCCACTTTTGTGATGCCTCCCGCCTTTCAAAACTCATCCTCATCATTTTCTTGCGGATATTATCAATTGTTTGGGTAATTGGCAAATAACGAGCTTCTTTGATCCAAGAATTGAATGACTCCGCTACGTTTGATGTCAACCATCCATATCTACATGCATGTCAATAAATAGTAAGTATAGCAGGAACATATATCTTGAAGATTTGCATTTGAAATTTTGTAAAAACTTTAATTTTAACCTCTTCCCAGGAAAATAACAATTAGCCCAATTTTCTGGACTCATCCTCAACATTTCATAATAGGCGATCTCTGATTTGTTCCGTAGCTCGTTGCATTCATTGTTATAGGCACGAGAAGTGTATGCATAAGCGGCCCTCTTCATAATTTGCACACATTCATCTCGTAAAGGTGGTATAATACCTTTTTTCGATAGGTTATTCTTAAAATTAGCCAAAAGATGACGAATACAATAAGAGTGATGTGACCATGGAAAGTATTTCTTCACAGAATTCTGAAGTCCTTTGTCCCTATCGGAGATTAACACCAGTTCATCATCTGGAGTATATGAATCTTCATCATTGAAGAGAATGTCTTGAATGCATTCCAAAAACCATTCCCAATTACTCTCATTTTCCGTCCCGCATATGCAAATTGCTACGGGAAACATACCTCCATCTCCATTTAGAGCAGTTGCGGCAAGTAAGGTTCCTTTATACCTAAAAAAGAAAAGAACAATCATGAAACAAAGTATAATATGAAGTAGTACATTAATGCAAGTTTTGATTAGATTGAACTCTACCATACCTATCAAAAAGATGTGTACCATCCAAGAACAATATTGGCCTACATCCCTCCGCAAACCCCTTCCAACAAGCATAATAAGACACAAATACTCGTGTAAATCTTCCGTCTTCATGCTCTAAGTGAACAATTGATCCTGGATTAGTTTCTAAAACTTTATCCTTATACCATCGGAGTTGGTCATATGAAAATTTAGTATCACCATACAAATCACGTTGAGCTAGCTCTTTTCCCCACCAAATTCTATGATAAGGGATGTCCAAACCAAATTCCATTTTAAGCTTCTTCTGAAAATCAATTGGACGATAAGTGAGTTGTTCCTTCAATATGGTCTTGAGATGATTAGCATTCCACTTACGAGATGCCCGTTGATATCCTTTCTTTCCTATACCTCCTCCCAAGCAACTATGAGAATTACATATTTTTTTCACATAGAATCGATCACTATCTCTACGACGGGTGCAATGAACCATCCATTCACAGTTTGTGGCCTTGCATTTTGCTGTCACCCTTTTGCGTTCATTTTTTACAAATTCAAAGTTAAATCCTCGTGCAATAGAATAATTGCTTAAACTTCGCCGACAATGCTCAACATCATCAAACTCTTGACCAACACTTCTAATAGCATTGTGCCATGCAATAGGAATCATACTAGAGCTCTCAACTTCCCGAGGCATGTTTTGTGAATACGATGGATTTTGTGAATGAGAAACATGTTCGTCGCTAGAGGGGATATATGGATTACTGCATAGAAAATTGTACAAGACTTAAGAAAGTGATAATGTTAAAGTACGAAATTATAACAATAGTGGAAATTACCTTATATGGACATTGTTAGCTTGTATTCCAAATAATATCTCTCGATTCATCTCAGCATTCATGACAATTATATTCTCCTTGCAACTTCGATGTACATTGAACATTATCGAGACATCACCATCATCACATACACGAACATAAACTTCTTGTGTGTGGGGTACTTTGTATGTCAACTGTATCGTGCTTTTACTACAAGCAATTAGGTTTTGGACTGCAACGACCAAATCTTTGTAACTCCCGTTGACATTTAATTCTAAAAAGTGATTGTTTCCTCTAAAATCCGTCAATGCGCAATAAAATTCTTCATCCATCTATATTTGTCACAAAAAATAAACAAATTTAGAGAAAAAATTCATCAAATATAGTCACATAAAATCAATACAACTAAAATACTGCTACATGATAACGTGCTATACTTACAGGTTAACGTGCTATACTTACAGTATAACGTGCTATACTTACAGTATAACGTGCTATACTTACAGTATAACGTGCTATACTTACAGTATAACGTGCTATACTTACAGTATAACGTGCTATACTTACAGTATAACGTGCTATACTTACAGTATAACGTGCTATACTTACAGGTTAACGTGCTATACTTACAGTATAACGTGCTATACTTACAGATTAACGTGCTATACTTACAGTATAACGTGCTATACTTACAGATTAACGTGTTATACTTAAATGTTAACGTGCTATACTTATAGGTTAACGTGCTATAGTTACAGTATAACGTGCTATACTTACAATATAACGTGCTATACTTACAGTATAACGTGCTATACTTACAGATTAACATGCTATACTTACAGGTTAACGTGCTATACTTACAGTATAACATGCTATACTTACAGGTTAACGTGCTATACTTACAATATAACGTGCTATATTTACTGTATAACATGCTATACTTACAGGAGAACCTGTTATACTTACGATATAACATGCTATACTTACAGGTTAACGTGCTATACTTACATGATAACGTACTATACATATGTGATACGTGCTATAACTAATTTTTAACTAGTTTTTATGAATTCATAATAATAATGAAATTAGTGTGAGTAAATTACTGTGAAATAATCATGCACAAAATGATCATAATAAATTGTAAAGTTGGTAGTGGAGTAATTGTCGTGCATAAAACGATCATAATAAATAGTAAAGTTGGCAGTGGAGTAAATTAGTGTGAAATAATCATGTGAAATAATGGGTGGTTAATTACAAAACGTCATTTAACTAACATTTAACTAACATATCAAATACTGTAAGTATAGCACGTTATCATGTAACTAATAATACTTGGGTTTAAAGATAAAGCTAGGTTAACGTGCTATACATACAAATTAATGTGCTATACTTATGATATAACGTGCTATACTTACAATATAATGTGCTATACTTACAGGTTAACCTGCTATACTTACAATATAATGTGCTATACTTACAGGTTAACGTGCTATACTTACATGATAACGTGCTATACTTGCATGATAACGTGCTATACTTACAGGTTAACGTGCTATACTTACAGGTTAACGTGCTATACTTACAGGTTAACGTGCTATACTTACATGATAACATGCTATACTTACAGGAGAACATGCTATACTTACGATACAACATGCTATACTTATAGGTTAACATGCTATACTTACATCATAACGTGCTATACGTATGTGATACGTGCTATAACTAATTTTAACTAATTTTTATGAGTTCATAAATAATAATGAGAAATTAGTGTGAAATAATCATGTGAAATAACTAATGTGAAATAATAAAGTGGAATTAATGGGTGGTTAATTACAAAACCTTATTTAACTAACATTTTACCAAATTATATGAACTCATTTAACTAATGTGAAATAATAATATGGAATTAATAATGTGAAGTAACTAATTAATGTGAAATAATCATGTGAAATAATCATGTGAAATAACTAATGTGAAATAATAAAGTGGAATTAATGTGAAATTTTATGAACTCATTTAACTAACATATCAAATAATTGTCATGCATAAAATGATCATAATAATTTGTAAAGTTGGTAGTGGAGTAAATTGAAAAATTTTACCTTTAAATGCTAAGAAAGTTGGTGAGAATTAATTGATGGGTTAGGAGAGAGCTTTCATTTCTAATAATGGAGTGAGAGAATGGGAGATGAAGTGGGAGATGAAGAAGGAGAGAGAGAATGAAGTTGGTGAGAATTAATGGATGAGAGAGATAGAGAAGACAGGAGGAGAGAAGGGGAGTCTTTCCCGCCATTTACAGCAAGAGAGAGGGTGGGAGGGGGGCCCACTTACTGGAAGGTTAAGATTGGAATTTAGGAAAAATATATAGGGGGGACCCACGTATGAGAGGATTGTATTTTAGAATTGGGTTTAAAAACAAATACCAAAAGTGAATTGGGCTTAAAGATACAGTTTAAAATACTTGGGTTTAAAGATAAATGTAGGTAAACAAATGGGCCTAAAGATAAAAACCCCTATTTATAATTACTCGTGCTCTTACTCTCCTTAACATGCTTTTGTTAGGTCAATCTTAAGCCCTCCGCCGCCGCCTCTTCCTCAGCCAGCTCCACCACCAAAAGAGAAAACCCAACATAGTCACAAGGCTAAGGATCACAAGGAGAAAACAAGGTCACTTCCATCGCCTGCACCGCCCAAGGCGGAGCTGATGCCGATGGGGAGGGTGCCAGAGGCAGTTCCACCACCAGCAGCAAAGACAAAGAGGGGGATCAATGAGAGGGTGGATAGCTATATTGTTCGTACTAAGGAAAAACTAAGGAGTGGGTCTGGTCTGGGTAGGGTGTTCTCCTCTAAATGAAATGATATATGAAAATGCACGGCTGGTCTTTCTTTTTAGTATATATATTTGTATATTTTGTGAGAGACATCCTTGCCGCAGTTTGGATCCCAGTGTCTTGTGTAAAGCTTTGCCAGTGCAGCTTTAGTGTGTGGTTGATTGGTGGAAATAAAACATATTTGTATCATAATCTGTTCAATTGACAGTAAGTATGATTTTTTCATGCACATATCACTGAAGTTTCACCAAAGTATATCTGTTTGATAGGATGTTATGTTAACAGTATAAGTGTGAATTTCATGCTCATATTGAAGTCATTAATTAGAGGCGCAGCAGAAGCAACATCTTGGGAAGATGGAGAAGACGAATGGGAACGGCGGGTCTATAGGCAGCGGGCTCAGTAGCGGAGGAATGGGTTCGAGCTTTTTTGGAAAACAGACTACTGGCAGTGGACGAGGAGATAACAGTGACATATTGAAGAAGGTAAGTGTGCTACAGTGCTCTAGATGATTCATAATGTCAACTGAATAATAGACGGTTGTAATCAAACCGGGTTGTTTCTCCTGTAACTTTTTCGGTAGTCCGAAGAATCAAATCCTAAAT